TTTACCGTAAGTAAATGCACTATCAAGCTTTGTTTTTCTACTAATGGTGTTGGAAATGTTGAGGAGAAATCTCTGTAAATTTAATTACAAAGCATGTATTAAAACATGATACTATTTCATCTAGTAAAGTAGCAACTACAGGTCCATTGTATATTGTATGGCGTACACTATACAGTACAAGCTGTAAATATCCAGATAACCAATAGAGAGTAGCTGTCTCTATCTCATCCACATCTTTGCTACCCAAGTATGGTAACTAGACCATAACAAAGTTTGTTATTTCAAGTACATCATAACCAACACACATTAGCATAGTATAACATAATGATAACTCAGCTTCCCTGGAAAGAAACTAAGAACATTGAAAAATGTTAGTAATAGTTTTCGTTGATCACTTATTCCTCATCTATGAAAGCTGTTCTGTGTGCATAAGTCCATAACTACAGTATATGGACTTTAAAAATTTTGAAAAAATCAAGAAAGATTTTCTGAATTATATTTATATATAACCTTTTTTTGCTAACAAATAGTGGTCCAGCTGACTCATTATAAATGATTCAACTGCTTTGAAATTCTTAACAAATTAAATAATAACCTACTACTATAAATATATTTCATTTTTTTTCTTAGAAAAACTCACATTCCAGGATGTCTCATCACCTCAAGAATTTGTACAGGGAGAAGATGTACAAGTCATTTGCCGTGTTATTAGTTCACCAGCGCCTATTGTCAGCTGGTTATATCAAAATGAGGAACTCTCAAATATTGCTGACAGTTAGTATTTTGGTAACTCTTTAAATTATATGTTTTGTTACATATTCAGATTGTTTACACTTAATAATGTTCATACTTAAGAGAGTATTGTGTGGAATTCACATGGCTACAACAACTGACTTCACTGGTTATTCTAAGATTTGAAAACTATGTGGAAAATCTACCACGGGTTTATGTTTCTGTAGAATGCTAATATGCATTGTTTTGGGTTTTTTTAGTTGACAGGAAAATATACAGCATTACTATTACACTAATGGTTGAGCTATTATTGCTCTGTCCTTATAGCTTTATTATAAGAAAGTAAATTAGAAATCTACCTAGCTTCACTAGTTAGGGCAGGGGTGTCAAAACCCACATGACATGTCATGACGTATCGCAACTTTTTTGCCATTGCCGGCAATGGGGTGGGCATGGTTTTGCTATGATGCATCCGGCCCATGGGCCGGCAGTTTGACACCCCTGAGTTAGGGTGTGTGTATTTGGCTATATTTTTCTCCTTAAAGTATGATGGGACAAGTTTCTGCTGCCTAATGATTGATTGTATTTGATGTGGGTTAACTGGTCTTCGGGAAGGCTGATAGATCTGTTTCCAGAAGTAACTTGAGTGGTTTCGTTATGGGGTTATGGAGACCCATGATCCTGTTCTATCTCACTCTCACATGCTTTGTCTGGACAAAACCAGCTGGAGACTACTGGCAAAACCTGGCTCTTTCTCCTGGTTTAAAACTACTTTCTGAAATGGTATAGGGTTTCCTGCCTGAGCAGGGGGTTGGACTAGATGACCTCCAAGGTCCCTTCCAACTTTATTATTATTATTATTATCATTATTATCATTATTATCATTATTATCATTATCATTATTATTATTATTATTATTATTATTATCATCATTATTATTATTATTATTATTATTATTATTATTATTATTATTATTATTATTATTATTATTATTATGTGCTGTTTTTAAATGTAAATCTACACTTTTTTATGAATAGCACAGATATTCCTGTGCCACTTTGCAATATGGGAAGTTGAGCCTGTGAAAATACACTATAAATGATTTTTGGGAAATAACAGGAAAATTTACTTTATTTTTTACTTTGATATTTTTTATCATTTGATTTTATATAAATGATATGTCAGTCATAGCTTTAGGATGCTTTTAGCACTTTTTGTGCTAAATGCAAAAGAGACACAAATTGCATACTTCTCAGTCTGGGCTGAAAAGAGTAATATCCAAGGTTTCGTGTCTTTTCATTGCTTCATGTCTTTCATTCAACAATCATATCACCCAGCAGTGTGGAATTCTTTGCTAAAGTGAATATAAGTAGTATTGATTTATTAAAAGCACAAAATGTAATAAATGAAAAATACAGAATTAAGCTTTTAGGATTACACCTTCTGTGAAAATGTTTTGCTGATGAATAATTTAACAGTGTAGTGGAAATATTTAAATGTGTCAAAAGTTATATTTACTAATTGCCATTATTTATGGATAATAGTTTTCCTGTATGCTCTCCAGATAGATTTGCCATGTTGCCAAACAACAATCTTCAAATTCTTAAAATTAATAAAAGTGATGAAGGAGTATACAGATGTGAAGGAAGAGTTGAGGCGAGAGGAGAAATTGACTTTCGGGATATCATTGTAATTGTAAATGGTAAGAATTTAAATTATATAATATTTTTCTTTATGTAAGAAATATAATTTTATATTTGTGATATTGTGACATTTTAGAGTAAGGTAAATTAATTTTAAGGGTAAAAGTACAATAGTCACTTTTCAGCATTGCATCACTTCCAAGATAACTATATGTGATTCACTTTTATAAATGTGACCTCTAACTTTGGTATCATCACAACATAGGCTAAGTTTTGATATGTGCATGTTATAATAGATTTAAAAAGATATTCAAATGTTATAAGAAATGTTTGAATAAGATGGATATGTTTAGGGTTGCCAGGTCTGCTTCCAAAAAATAGCGGAGAAGCGGGGGGGTGGTGGTTAAGTAGTAAAAAAAGTAGACTGTACAGCTTTAGATTACGTACCATTTCATCATAAAGCTTTTGAATAAAAAAATGTCCACTATTTTGTGAAAAAATAGTGAAAAAAAATAGTGAACATAATGTGAAAAAAGTGGACTGTCCACTCAAATAGTAGACACCTGGCAACCCTAGATATGTTATGTATAACATTTTCCTTTAGTTTTCATTAATTTACCTTCTTCATGAAAACAAACTTTTTCTTTTCACTAGAAATTAAAGAGATTAATAAATTCTTTAAGGTTTTTTATGTGAACTAATTTGTCTACCCAGAATCTTTGAATTGGATTCAATCTTGCTTTTTAAGAATGGAAGGACATTCCATTCCTTTCATTTACAGAAGTTCACAGTGTGACTGTTTTAGGGGACTGTAGAACAAAATAAAAATCAACTAAAAATGCTGCAACATTAGTGCTAAATGTACTATTGGATTTACCTCAAAATTATAGTGATTCAAGAGAATTTGAAAAAACAAAGTTAAGTTCTTATATGCTACCTGTTTTATTAAAAGGAGCCCAAATAAAGTATGCTTTTATGGTTGCATTCTGTTATAACCATTAATTATAGTTATCCAATGACCAGTAAATTGATAAAACCAAACCAAACATTACATTCAAGACTTTAAAACATGTGTACACACACGCACACACTCATACTCACACACACACACACAATCATCTTTTCATTTTGCAATATATGGAATGATGACCAGGAGACCAGAAAACAAATTAGAAAAAATGTACAGAAAAAATTAACAAATGCATAATATAATTCACAGTATAGTTGTGAATTTGTTGCTACATTGCTCTGAAATGTTAAATGTCCATTGAAATTTAATTGTTTTCCTTGGTATCTGTGTACCAAGTGATTTTCCAACTTTAAAAAAACGAATTTCTTAATTCAGGAAACTGAGAAGAGAATTATTCAAATTTTGATAGCTTTGCTGTTTATAGAGCACAATATTCCTCGGTGTTGGGAAAAAAAACCACACAAATTTTATATGGAAAAACAGCAAAATCTAGAATGTTTCTAAATAAAAGTACATATAACAATTTACAATACCAGTGAGTACAGGAATAGAGTCCAGGTAACAGGAAAAGCTGGACACAGTGTTAGAAATTCTGTTTATATTAAGCATCACACAGAGCAAACAAAGAATACAGTCACCATGTGCTTTACTGCTCAACTATTACTGTAACAGGAAATTCTACTCAGAACAAAAGAGCAAAGAATATATACCATAGATCCACACTTGTAAATATTGCCATCTACTGGCTGAATACTACTGTAGCTGTTGCATAGAAATACAGTTGCAAGAAAAAGTATGTGAACCTCTTGGGATAACGCGGAGTTTTGCATGAATTGGTCATAAAATGTGCTCTGAACGTCATCTAAGTCACAACAATAGAAAAACATAGTCTACTGAAAATAATAATACACAAACATTACATGTTTCCATGGTTTAATTGAACATAACATGTAAACATTCACAGAGCAGGGAGGAAAAAGTATGTGAGCCCCTAGCCTAATGACGTCTCCAAAAGCTAATTGGAGCCAGGAGGGAGCCAACCTTGATTCCAATCAGTGTGATGATATTGGATGTGTTGCTGACAACTGTCCTGCCCGTTAAAAACACACACCTGTTATGGGTTTACTGGTTTCAAGAAGCACTGCCTGATGTGAACCATGCCTCACAGAAAAGAGCTCTTAGAAGACCTACGATCAAGAATTGTTGACTTGCATGAAGCTGGAAAGGGTTACAAAAGTATCTCCAAACGCCTTGATGTTCATGTGTCCACAGTAAGACAGACTGTCTACAAATGGAGAAAGGTTAGCACTGTTGCTACTCTCCCTAGGCGTGGTCGTCCTGTAAAAATGACTGCAAGAGCACAGCGCAGAATGCTTCTTGAGATAAAGAAGAATCCTAGAGTGTCAGCTAAAGACCTACAGAAATCTCTGGCACATGCTAACATTTTTGTTGACACATCTACAATAAGGAAAACATTAAACAAGAATGGAGTACATGGGAGGACACCACGGAGGAAGCCATTGCTGTCCCAAAAAAATATTGCAGCACGTTTGAAGTTTGCAAAAGAGCACCTGGATGTTCCNACAACACTATGTGTGGAGAAAAAAAGGCACAGCACACCAACATCAAAACCTCATCCCTACTGTAAAACATGGCGGAGGGAGCATCATGGTTTGGGGCTGCTTTGCTGCCTCAGGGCCTGGACGGATTGTTGTCATTGATGGGAAAATGAATTCCAGAGTTTATCAAGATATTTTGCAGGAAAACGTACAACCATCTGTCTGCCAACTGAAGCTCCACAGAGGATGGGTGATGCAACAGGACAATGATCCAAAGCATACAAGTAATTCAACAAAACAATGGCTTCAACAGCACAGAATATGTCTTCTGGAGTGGCCCAGTCAGAGTCCTGACCTCAACCCGATTGAAATGTTGTGGCATGACCTTAAGAGAGCGATTCACACCAGACATCCCAAGAGTATTGCTACACTGAAACAGTTTTGTGAAGAGGAGTGGTCCAAAATTACTCCAGATCATTCTGCAGGTCTGATCTGCAACTACAGGAAACGTTTGGTTAAGGTTATTGCTGCCAAAGGAGGGTCAACCAGTTATTAAGTCCAACGGTTCACATACTTTTTCCTCCCTGCACTGTGAATGTTTACATGTTATGTTCAATTAAACCATGGCAACATGTAATGTTTGTGTACTATTATTTTCAGCAGACTGTGTTTTTCTATTGTTGTGACTTAGATGACGTTCAGAGCACATTTTATGACCAATTCATGCAAAACTCCGCGTTATCCCAAGGGGTTCACATACTTTTTCTTGCAACTGTACATTCCAAAAATGAATTCCAACCCACAGCATCACAGGGAGATGATGCACTGTTATCCAATAGAAGTCTCACATTTGTCAGTGAGTTAACATTTGGATGGAGGACATTTTAACAATTCCTTATTTTTAACAATATTGACTATAAAAAATAAACTGGATTATTTTTCTGCCATTTACATTAAAGAGCCAATTAATACTTAAACAAAGCTATAAGCAGTTAAAAAACAAAATTTAACCAGAAAAATATGAGGGAGGTTTTGCAGTTGCATTCCTATAAAAGCTTATCTCTGAGTACCTCATTAGAGGCATAAATACAGATGGTAGGCAGCATGTAATGTTTTTCTGAAAATCATTGCTCCAGAAAAATCCCTTGTTCTTCGGTAGAAGAAAGGGATCCAATGCTGAGATAGCACCTCAAATCTCTTAATGGGGTTCCAGGAGACTAAATATTCAGCAGGTACCTTTGTAATGCGGAACTGGTTAATATTCAGCTGTTTTGATGCCTTAACTGGTTCAGAATTGCCAGGCTAGTTCATTTTCACTGTCTCACATACACACATACTTAACTCTCTTTCTTAACAGAACTCTTTCTTTTTCTGTAAAGTTGGGAGTTTGGGGCTCGTATAAGTAAAATAAAATGAGATAAGTAATATAAAATATCAAAAATAAAATACAGCAAAAGGTCGATAAAATCATGACCAAGTGCCAACCAGAACATGTATAAAACAGCTTGCCAACAGGACCTCTGCTTGCACTCCATTTTGGGGGAGGGGGCAAATCCTAACATCATGTTCCTAACCATGTACAAATGTTTCAATACTACTCTTCTTCTTTCCATCCACCTCCTCCACCATCTCCTCCTCCTTTACTGGAAGAGGGAGAAGAGCAATATTAATGTCTGACATTTCATTTATTTTATCTTTAAATCCAAACCAAAGCATTCCAGTGTTGTATGATGTTGCTGTTTTTTTTTAAATGTCAACTTCATATTTCAGAGCTTTGGAAGTAGGTATTATCCTATACAGTACACATAAATATTATTAATACCTGCTTACCACTCATTGTGCTGACAGTTCTCTTAACTTCTGCAAATAGCTCTCCTAATCTTGTGAACGCTAAAGCTTCCTCTTTCCATAACATATTCAAGATGGTCAGAGATTAATATTTATATGTTATTTAATATGTAAGGGTGAAGGTTTATACACATGTTGTATAAAGCATGTTTAAATGTATATATTTTTGAGAGCAAGCAACTAAATTTTATTTTTTATGTATGCCAATGTGCCCACAGTAAAAAATGACAATAAAGGTTATCTTATTGTCAATGCTGCTAACATTGAATGTTCTTGCTTTGACAAAATATGCAGAGCTGTGTGGAATTTTTAGAGGTAACTTAGATGATGCTGGGAGGGAAGGAGAAAGAATGTTTGTGGGGATTACTTAAGATAAAAACCCCACGCTACAGAAACGGAAGGGAACCTTTGCCCTTCAAACTGATTGGAGAACGTGATTTATGACAGCAAATAAGGGAAGGAAATATGCTGGCAAAATATATGCTCAGGGGAGGGAAATTCAGATCTTAGCATCTTACATGCTGTGCCAACACTCTGTTACATGATTAAAGACTTTTTAGAATAAACAATGCCTGGAAGTTCTTTGAAGTGTTTCATTTAATGAAATGAAACACTTTACAATGCCTTGGTAAGGCCACACTTGGAATACTGCATCCAGTTTTGGTCACCGCGATGTAAAAAAGATGTTGAGACTTTAGAAAGAGTGCAGAGAAGAGCAACAAAGATGATTAGGGGACTGGAGGCTAAAGCATATAAGGAACGGCTGCTGGAATTGGGTATGTCTAGTTTAATGAAGAGAAGGACGAGGGGNATGCTCCAACACTGGAAGTTTTTAAGAAGAGACTGGACAGCCATTTGTCCGAAATGGTATAGGGTTTCCTGCCTGAGCAGGGGGTTGGACTAGATGACCTTCAAGGTCCCTTCCAACTTTACTATTATTATTATTATTATTATTATTATTATTATTATTATTATTATTATTATTATTATTATTATTATTATTATTATTAGTCGGAACCATGACATCATGCCAAGATCTGCTTTCTTTTCAAACAACCTGGGGTCCTAAACTCCAGCCGCTCACTCTAGACTTTAGAGAAGCTGGCAAAGATTCAGGAGGAAATTTCATTATGGGAAAAGGGAACCTTCTTGAAGGTGATGACCCAGCAACTGCTGATACCCCAGAGGGGGAAGCAACAGACAGCATGCTGTGGGAAGATGAGTTTTGGCAGATAAAAGCAGAACCCAAGCAGCTAGGAGAGCTAATCTAGCCCTCAGCCCAGGCCCAGCCCAGCGGAGACTCCAGATGCCTTGAGACTGCCTTACCACCCTCAAAGATTTCAAAAGCAGACCAGTGGAGAGCTACCAGATCATCTGCCACTGAAGGTTCAGGTGAAGCTGGGAAAACACACAACACTATCCAAGAAATGTCCAAATACAATATCTCTATATTGGGAGTGAGTGAAATGTGCTGGCCTGAAAATGGAATGTGTAGAATAGGAAATTATACTATCTACTACTCTGGTGAGAATAGCAAACACCATCGAAATGGAGTAGCTACAGTATAATTGTAAACAATCGTGTAAATAAATGCATCAAGTCCTTTGTTCCTGTATCTGATAGAGTGATAATGATCCAAATAAATAGTACTCCAGTAAATATGAATGTTATACAAGTTTACGCTCCTACAGCTGACAGCAATGAGGATTTAGAGAAGTTCTAAAAGATATAAGCAATGTACTGAAAACCCTAAAAAGTAATGATATCACAATACTCATGGGGGACTTCAATGCAAAAGTGGGAGAAGGAAGTGATGCTCTTGTAGTTGGAAACTTTGGCTTAGGAACCAGAAATGGTAGAGGTGACAGATTTATAGACTTCTGCAAGGAACATAGGTAATGTGTGATGAATACTTTTTTCAAGTTGCCAAAAAGACGCCTCTACACTTGGAGATCACCAACAGATACATGAAATAATGTAGTAAGGAATCAAAATGACTATTTTACAATAAACAAAAGATTTAGAAACTCAGTAAAATCAGTAAAGACATACCCAGGTGCAGATGTACCATCCGATCATAATCTACTACTTGCTGAAGTGCAGCTGAAACTAAAAAGGATGAAAAACCCGAACCCTGCTAAACCAAGAATCGACAGAGACTTCATCATTAAACATGGAGGTAAGATTAAAGAAGAATTAGAAAATCATTTAAGGGAAACCAACAACTTAAATGATGATGATATAGAAGCAAACTGGAATAAATTTAAAAATGCAATAGTAGAGGTAACAAATTCAAAACAGAGAGAGGGGTACCACAAGAAACAACAGTAGATGATGGAGGAAATTCTTCATCTCATGGATGAAAGAAGATCTTATAAAAATAAAAACAAAGAAAAATACAATGAATTGTAGAAAACAATTAGAAGAAAAATTTGACTGGCAAAAGAAAAGTGGTTTACAAAGAGATGCAAGGAAATAGAAGAGACAGAACGTATACATGATAATTTCAATTTACACAAAAAAGTGAAAGAAGCAGCAGGCTTCTACAAAAAGAAAACCAACAACTTAGTTGACAAAGAGGGGAAATTATCTTAGATGAGGATAAAAAACTAAAAAGATGGAAGGAATATATTGAAGAACTTTTTGAGGACACTAGGGATGATATAGATATGGGTAGTATAACAACTGGACCAAATATCACTATGGAAGAGGTTGAACATGCAATAAAAATAGCAAAAACAAGAAAAGCCACAGGACCTGATGATATATCAATAGAAATTTTAAAATTGCTGGAAGACAATGGGAAGAATTTTTTACTGCAGCTCTTCAATCAGATATATGAAACAGGAAAGATACCAAATGATTGGCTAAAATCAACCTTTGTGACAATCCCCAAAAAAATAAATGCAAAGAAGTGTACTGAATACAGAACAATAAGCTTAATGAGTCGTGCTCTGAAAATATTCCTGAGAATAATTCACACAAGAATATACAACAAAATTGAAGAGTGTCTAGGTAACACACAATTTGGTTTCAGAAACAATCTTGGTACACGAGATGCACTGTTCAGCATTCAGGTTCTTGTACAGCGTTGTAGAGATGTCAATCACAATGTTTACATTTGCTTCATTGATTTCGAAAAAGCTTTTGATAAAATAAGACACAGAAAACTATTAGAAATCCTGAAACAAGGGGGACTAGATGACAAAGACATCCAAATAATAAAGAATCTGTATTGGCATCAGGTAGCAAATGTGAGAATAGGCCAAAAATACTCAGCTGATGCAGAAATAAGAAGAGGGGTCAGACAGGGATGTATTCTGTCTCCACTGTTGTTCAATATCTACTCTGAGTCAATCTTCAACAAGGCACTGGAGAACATTGATGCTGGCATCAAAGTAAATGGTGTTTGGATCAACAACTTAAGATATGCTGACGATACAGTTCTGATTGTCAGTAAGCATGAAGACCTTCAGCTCCTCATCAACAGAGTCACAGAAATATCTGAAAAATACGGCTTGAGGCTTAACACCTCAAAAACCAAGATCATGGTCGTCAGCAAACAACTCGTTAATTTACCACCAATAAATTCAGAAGGAATACCACTAGAAAAAGTTGAAAGGATCACGCACCTCGGTTCGAATCTACATGAAAGCTGGGACATGACCATTGAAGTAAAGACAAGGATAGAAAAAGCCCGAACAGCATTCTTCAAAATGAAAAAGATCTTCTGCAGTCACGACATAAGCCTAAGACTGAAAATCAGGCTTGTCAGATGCTATATTTTTTCTATTCTGCTCTCTGAAGAGACTAGAAGCATTTGAAATGTGGATTTACAGGCGGCTGTTATGTATAAGCTGGGTTGACAAGATCAGAAATGAGGAGGTGACAAGCTGCCTGGGAAAGCCAAGGGAAATCATCAAAACAATTAAAAAATGAAAATTAGAATATTTCGGACATGTGATGCGACATCCAGAAAAATACGGCATAATCCACTTAATCCTCCAGGGAAAGATTGAAGGCAAAAGAGGTCCAGGCAGAAGAAGAACATCATGGCTTCAAAATCTAAGGGATTGGTTTGGATAAAACTCAGCAGCACTTTTTTGTGCAGCTGCTGATAAAAACAGGATCACCAACATGATCGCCAACGTCCGATAACGGATATGGCACAACAAGAAGAAGAAAGTAGACACGTTCTCCATCAGTTGAACTTTCTGAATGCTCTTTAGGGGTAGCCCTATATAGAACATGTTGCAGTAGTCTAAATGAGAGGCTACAAAGGCATGAATTACTATGAGAAAGGCCATCCTGACTAAGAAAGGGAAGAACTAGCATACCACCCAGAGATACACAAAGGCCCTCCAAGCCATACCTGCTACCTGCTCTTTGAGGATCATCAGTAACTCTGGAAAGACTCCCAGATTGCACACTTGGTTTGTCTGGGGTAGTGCAATCCCATGCAGAACTAAAGATAGAAGAACCTTATCTCTGGAAAGTTCAAATAGGGTTGAGTTGAAAACAGGATCATTAGCTCTCATCATCAACAAAACATCAAATGTTTTCAAGAATATAAATGACACTTTCCCACATCCTTATTTCTTTTTCACAATGTTTCAGATTCCATGTTGAAACAATTAGAAAGATATAATTTGTAGGAGAAGAGCAGGCAGAGCTCGGGTGCAGAATTAAATGCATCATCAGCTAAGAGTTGGTACATTGCCACATACAGTCCAAGACGAACCCCTTGAATTCCATTGGGTCTTATTTGGTGCCAATTTAGCATTGAACTTTAGTTGACTAGATATACAGGCTTGAAAATGAACCTTTTGAACTGTCACTGAATGTATGGTCCTGATCCTTTGTGCCTGACATGATTTGAGGGGGAAAAAAGAAATTTATTTTCAATGTCTAAAAAAAAATTGTGTAAATTGTAAAAACTGAATGCTTTGTGTTTGTCCAGTTCCTCCAACAATTATTTTGCTTCAGAAGTCCTTTAATGCTACAGCAGATCGCGGAGAGGCAGTTACTTTGTTCTGTAAAGCTACTGGTTTCCCTGAACCTGAAATCAACTGGTACAGGTCAGTTTTACAAGGACAGATATTTAAATTATGTCTTTTGTGATAGATTCATTATAAGTTTAATAAAACAAATGGAATTTGAACTCTCATGGTTGTAGAAAGTCAGATATGTTAAATGTCATTTATTTGACTTAATAACATTGCTGCATCACCATACACATTAATTTGTATGTTATTTTATTACATAGTAGAGCAGTGATGGTGAACCTTTTAGAGACTGAGTGCCCAAACTGCAACCCAAAACCCACTTATGCATCGTTGAGTGCCGGGTGGGCGTGGCCCATTGGCTAGGGGTGGCCAATTGGGTGGGTGTGGCCAATTGGGTGGGCATGGAGAAGTGGTAACGGCAGACTGGGTGGGACTAAAAAGTTCAATCAATCAATTCCAACTTGGCAAGAACTTTTGTTTTCGCGCTAGAAGTTGAAATTGACTGATTGAACCTTTTTTTTTTTTTTTCACATGGCGGCGGAGGCCTAAAGCGAAAAGGTTTTATAAAACCCAGCTGAAGGCCTCGGACTGGGGCAACAGCGTGCATGCCCACAGAGAGGGTTCTGAGTGCCGCCTCTGGCACCCATGCCATAGGTTCGCCACCACTGTAATAGAGTATTAAAATGAATCTTCACACACAAATGAAAAGTTGACATTTTTAATTTTCCAGTTAGTGATAAAAACTTGTGCTTTTCTTCTTGGTGGTATATTACATAGTTGTCATGGCTGAAATTTTAGTGTTCATTTAGCTTATAAAAAAAACATTGTATTTATATGTCTTTCTATAGGAAGGGCAAACGTATTGAGGAAAGTGATAAATATACATTAAGAGGAAGGAATATGGAACTAACCATAAAAGATATAAAAAATATTGATTCCGGTCCTTATATTTGTGAAGCAAGAAATAAAGCAGGAAGAGTGACAAATCAGACTTTCATGCAAGTTTTTGGTAAGTGTTGTTTGGTTTGGCTATCTTTGAAATTTATTGAATGTCTAATTCTTAGAAATGTTTAATTGATTCTGAAATAAATACTGAGGTCTCTCATTTTCTTATATGGGAAAGCCATCTAATCCCCAATTGCTACTAATTTTCATTCAATTTTTTTTTAATCAGACCTTTTCAAAAGAAGTTGATAAAAGTGCTGGGGAAAATATTTTTTTTCATTTTAGTACAAATTAAAAGTTTGATTATTTTTTAAATATAATACTCATTGCTGCCTTATAGATAATGATGAAAGTATACTGAAAAATTATAAGCTCCTCTGTCCAGTCTACCTGTGCCCATAACAAAATTATATTCTTTTATATAGAGAAGGAACTCTAAATAATAATAATAAAAATCAGGTAATGTATAATATTTCACTTACAAAGACTCAGCCAGACTTTTTATAGTCTGAGAAAATATGAAAGATTCCAATGGGAAATATAGAATAAACAAGGTTAGATGATAGTCATATCATGTTGATATTTTTTAAAAAAAATATTTATATTATTTCTCAGGATTTTAAAAATGTTTTCCCTCTCTATTTGTATAATGGTTCTTTGCCTTCTTATACCAAAAGGAATAAAAATAATTAGATGTTTTCCTCTTTCCCAGGAGATTTTTTTATTTTCCCTTAATGGTTTCTACACACTTTTATAAAGTTGTTTTTGCTTATCTCTGTAGTTTCTTATACATTCAACCTTGAAAATTTTAAAGCAGTAATGTTTACCATCATGTCTTTCCAATTGTCTCCATAAATTTGGGAATTCTGAAATTATCCTAAAGCAAGACTCTAAAAAATAAAAGAGTATTGTGCAGCACATTCTAAATATGTTGATGTTTTTTAAATTAAGCCATTTTACTATTTTTAGAGATATTATTGAATTCCAAGAAAGAAGAATTATTTTAGTTCAGAGTTGAAATGAAGGGTCCTTGGTGCTCTCTGAACTTGACATCTGTAAGAAAACAACCAAACTCAGAGAGCACCAAAGACCTCCCATTAGCGAATTCATAAAAAAAGTTGAAAAGGAAAAATATTGTGATATTAGATACTAAACAATTCTCTTTCATAAAACCAGCTGCTGGAGATATCTGCAAGGGTTAGACATAGATTGTTAAGTACAGCAAAGGAACTGGGGAATAGAGAAGAAGAAAAACATAACATATCTTGCATCTGCAGGAGTAAGCTTCATGATGTCCAGTCTAATTTATAAAGGATCATAGTGCAGTGAGAAAGACAAGAACAGAGAAAACCAAGTGAGATTGAATAGAGCCATTATTTTATACAATCTTTTCATTAAGTATATGAAACTAAATTTAGTTTACCCATGTGCACTGAAAATAGACAACATGTATTTCAATTTTTAATTTTCTAGACTAGAAAACCTCTAGCAAAAGTAGAATAATATTACAATGCAGATAAGTAAAACAAATGCGTGTATCAAGAATTACATGGTGTTGTATGTAGCCTTTGATATCAAGAACAAGTAATACAATTTGTATTTCTAACAGTACAGCCTCAAATAATACAACTTAAAAATGAAACCACCTTTGAAAATGGCCAAGCCACTCTGATATGTGAAGCAGAAGGAGAACCAATTCCTGAAATTACTTGGAAAAGAGCTGTTGATGGAAT